TCTGAAGTCAAAAACGACTAAAAAATAATATGCAACTTCCAAAATATCTGGTTTGTACAAAATAATAATAACTCCGGTAGTGTTCCGTTTTTTTTTAAAGTCTGAAGATTTTTTGTCTTTTTCATTATATTTTTTCGTAAGGGCATTTTCACTTCAGAGACCCCACCAACAAGTACCAAAAAGCGGGCTGCCACCAATGCCTTCATAAACGTTTCAATATGGTATTACAATTGTGAATTTTATACAAAACTGCAATATAAATCTCACTCACCATCAAACTTACTATTTTGATTCTGAAGTCCAAAACGATTAAAATATAATACAACTTCCAAAATATCCATTTTGTTCAAAAGACTAATATCTCTGTAGTGTTCCGTTTTTTACTTTTTAAGTCTTTATTAGATGATTCAAATAGGCCTTTAATCTCTTTAAAAGCAATTGGTCATCAATGATATTGAAGTTATGAATATACCGACTTTAAAAATATTTCTTTTGATTCTTTGATATATGATTATTATATAATTCCATCTAATGAATTAAATTTAAATTCATTTTGTTCATTAGATGTTGATAACCGAATTTAATTGCCTACTAATTCACAAATTCGAATTTTGATTACTGCTACAGATGTGCTTCATTCATAAACTATCCCTTCTCTTGGATTTAAAATTGATGCCACTCCAGGACGTCTAATTCAATCAAATTTTATAATAAATCGACCAGGATTATATTTTGGACAATGTTCAGAAATTTGTGGAGCAAACCATAGATTTATATATATTGTAGTTGAAAGAGTTTTAATTAATTCATTTATTAAATGAATTTCATCTAATTCATGAGATGACTGAAAGCAAGTGTTGGTCTCTTAAACCATTTTACAGTATTATTTCTTGTCTTTTCCTATAATTTTTTCCTAAAAGGGGGTCTGCCACCAATGCCTTCATAAACGTTTCCAGTGATTATGTTTCATTTATCCTCCGGGATCATGTTACTACGAAAATATCGGTGACGAACAGAAAGATCTAGGTGGAGAGTTTAATGCTCGTAATGCGATGGTGTGAGTATAAGCTTGTAAGGGATAATATGAGAGAATAAGGGACTGGCTCAATGACTGACTGACTTGGTCCGATAACGCGCAAAAACTCGTTTAGACGATTACATCGATATGCATTTAAGTGACGAAATGAGGATACATTTATATATATAACATGTCTTTAGTTCACCAGGACCAAAGCATCCAGGATTCTGACGGATTAGTCGGACGTAATTCTAATATAATTTTGGGAATTTGATCCACTTCATACACTGGACTTATAATGATCTATTGAAAAATAATAATAATAATAAAAATTTAATTATTTAATAAATTTGAAAAGTGCAACATTAGAATAATTTATAAAAAGTAATTTTGTACTTCTAAACGAAGTTTCAAGATTTATATATATATAGAATAGACCGTACCCGCCCAATTTGACCCAAAAGTCCAATTTGACTTTGAGCAATTATATTGAGAAAGCCAAACCAACTATATCACATATGTCAAAGGTCAAACTATCTGACTATGTCCAGTAGAACTTCCAGGTACTTCATCATTGCAAAAATATGTTATTTTTTGCTGTTTTCAAAAATATGCCATCTGGTCCTTTTTACCTGGGTAAATTAGAATCGCCAGGTGGCAATCAAGTCCAATATTTTATTTTTAATTTTGGAGAAATTTTACAAAATATTTTAGCTACATTGCTCAACACATATCAAAAGAACAACTATCTGACTATGTTCAGTAGAATTCCCACCTACTTCATAATTGTAGAAATTTGTTTTTTTGCTGTTTTCAAAAATATCTCACGTGGTCCCTTTTACCCCATAGGCGGGGTAAATTAGAATTTCTAGAGGGCAAACGGGATTAAAGAAATTTCACGTAATAATAGCAGCATTATTCAACACATATCAAAACAACAACTATCTTACTATGTTCAGTAGAACCTTCATGGGTACATTTTACAGAGATAAAAATAGACACTGTATATAACCTTGATCTGGTATTTTGTCAAATATTTATCAGCAAAGTTAAAATATTTATTTACTTAATTATTTTTCACATTTTTGACAGGATAAAGGTTAGTCCTTTCTACTCTAGCCAGAAGTAAGCTTTGACAAAAGTTACATAAACAAACTGTAGAATATAACTTAAAATTCATCTTATGAATCAATTAAATAACGCTTAAATAAAACTTATTTATTGAGGTTTCATAAACAACCAGACCCATTTTTATTTTTAATTTTGGAGAAATTTTACAAAATAATAGCTACATTATTCAACCAATACAAAGTAGAAATCTTATGGGTACATTTTTTATAGAACACTGTACATAACCTTGATCTGGTATTTCGTCAGAAATATTCATCAGCATAATTGAAATAATTATTTATTTAATTATTTTTTACATATTTTCCAAGGTAAAGTTTTAGTTGGCCCTTTCTACCCCAGCCATGAGTAAGTTTTAATAGAAGTTACTTAAAAAACTGTTGAATCTAACTTAAAATTAGCAATACATCTTATAAAACAATTAAATAACGCTTACTTAACACTTATATTAAGGTCTCGTAAACTAAACAAACAGGTCCACTGACTTATTTTTAATTTTAGAGGAATTTCACAAAACAATAGCTACATTATTCAACCGATGCAAAATATAAATTTTATGGGTACATTTTTTACAGAGATAACACTGTACATAACCTTGATCTGGTATTTCGTCAGAAATATTTATCAGCAGAGTTTAAATATTTTTTTATTAAATTAGTTTTTACATCTTTGACAGGGTAAAGGTTTAGTTGGTCATATCTACACTAGCTAGGACTAAGCTTTAATAGAGGTTACATAAAAAAACAGTTGAATCTAACTTAAAATTAACAATACATCTTGTAAAATAATTAAATAACGCTTGCCTAAAATTTATATTAAAGTCTCGTAAACTAATCAACCAGATTCACTGACTTATTTTTATTATAAAGGAACTTTTATTTTTAATTTTATAAGAATTTTACAGAATAATAATAGCTGCATTATGCAACCAATGCAAAATATAAATTTTATGGGTACATTTTTTACAGAGATAACACTGTACATAACCTTGATCTGGTATTTCGTCAGTATGTGTATTGAATGTATATTTATTAGCAGTTTTGGAGTATTTAATTTATCTTTGTAAAATTGTTTTTTTACCTTATATAATAGATAGTCTTATTCAAAGTACCTTAAATGCAAATTTAATGAATTTTTTATGAACTGTATATCAAGGTATGAGGCATCTTGATTCTGAATCTCCTCTGATTTACTTCAGATAAATCTCAGAAATTTTAAAACAATGAAAAATAATTATTTGACACTGACATCCGTCAGTTTATGTCGTCTTTGGTGACTGGCATTTTCAAGTGTCTGTCATATTCATGAGCGCTTCAGAAAATTCAAGGGCTCTTTCATTGTACAAGTATATGACTCGAGAGCTTCTTTCGCGAGAGAAGCAGAAGTTTGCGAACAATGGATGAAGCCAACGGCGAAGCGAAAATTTTCGCCCCATTTGGAATTAATGTGCACCATATTAATAAATGCATTTGGGGAAAAGTTAAAAATAATCGATAAAAAATTTACTATTATTTTATATAGTAAGTAATAAATAGCAGATGATTTATGTAATCGAATTGAGAAAATTAGTTAATTACTTAACTAGAACAAATATTTAGGATAACAATGTGAATATGATTGAAAACAAACAAACAAGAATTTTTATATTTTAATATAGTAAAACCAATTTGGACGTACGGAATACAGCTTTGGGGAACCGCGCGCAAATACAACATCGCCATAATTTAAAAATTTCAAAATGAGATTTTGAAAGAAATTATAAACGCACCCATGTATGTCCCAAATTGGTTGGTTCAAACAGATTTGAACATAAACACAGTTAATGAAGAAATTGAAAAGTTCAGTCTGAAATACAAGGATATAATACAGAATCACCCAAACATTATGGCCAAAATCTTAATAAAAAAACATGGCATTGAATGGCTCAGAAGAAAACGGACCATTTTTGATATTCTTTAGTAATCCTATAATATGTAAAATTACATCAGGACTACATCTGTAAGCTAAACATCTCGAATCGGATCACCACTGGGTGACCATTCGACCTTTTTTCATAAACCATTAAAATTACTGAATGTTGTTTATAACTACAGATTATATTTATATATTTACCCAAATTACTTGGCACAAAAAGTTTTCTCAGAAGCGCGCTCAACCAGACTAAAACGAAAAATTCCCAATGATCTCATAAACTTGTAAACGCTAACATTATTATTATTATTATTATTATTATTATTATTATTATTATTATTATTATCTTACTATTTCCATTATTGTTATTTTGTTATATTTTATTATTTTTCTAGTACTATTTTATTATTCAGAAATTTTATTTATATTATTTATTAATTTTATTTTTATTGTTATTTGCTTCTATTTTATATTAAATCATCATATTACTGATATTATTTTTATGTAAATTTTATCCTTTACTTTCTTATTTATTTAAATTTATGTTATTATTTATCAATATTACTAGATGTTAATTATTTAGCAGTTGTAATAAATATTGAAATTATAAAAAAATTATATATTTATTAAAAAAAAAACACAAAAATAAATTCAGTCACGGTAGTGACAGTCTCCATAACAGCTAGACTATATGATTATGGCATAGGGTCCAAAGGGAGAAAGCTGTAGTATGTTTATTTGAACATGCTCCCACTTTTGCATTTAGTCAGCGCTTTACATTAACTTGATCTGTAGACCGCATTACTTTTAAAGATTAAAAAAAAGTTTCTTTAGAATTGCGTAAAATTCTCTAAACATCTCAAATCCTATCATCGAAATGACCAAAATTATCACAAGAAATCTTTGTGTGCAGATAATAAGCTTAAATTTCTTTGTACTCCAGGTGGACTTTGGAGAAGTTTTTATCCCCCCAGACCTAGATGTGCCAAAACCACGAGTTCTGCCCGAATTCAAACGTCTCGCACATGCGCTACGATCTGGTAATATAAGTGTTCTGGATGCCAAGACGTTCTACATCCCTAATTTACATTACGATGGTGCAGGCCCTGATGCCTATTTCTGGGTTGGAACTGGACCAGAACCATCAGAAATGGGGATTAAGGTAGAAAAATTAAAATTAATCCACAATTTCAAATATTGATTTAAATTTTTTTTGCATAGGTTCCAAATGAAATGGGTTCTCTGGAACCATTACGGGGTTACCAAGGTGAAGATATAGAAATTCAGCTGCCTGGAAATTTAACAGTTTATGATATAGATTGGTTAGCAATGTGGTGTGTTCAGTATAGACATAATTTTGGACATGTCATGATACCGAAAGATTTAGATGTACCTCCAGCGTTGGGACAGACTAAAATAACGGTGAGTAAAATAGAATAGAAATTGAGTAACTAATTTAATTTTTAGTGATGAAAATAAATATCAAAAATGCTAAGTATTTAAAAAATTATTCATATAAATGTGTTTTATACATTAAACAAAATTTTTGTTAAAACTTTGCAACTTATCATATGTTTACGTTTCACTGCTAGCCTTCTTGGTGGTATAATCCGGTAAGTAATGTTGTATTAATGAAATCAAAATATCGAAAATATAATTAAGACTCATATAAAATTAAAAAATTGATAACGAAAATATTATTTAAACTAAAAATTAACTTTTATTATAGACAAGCACAACTATCAAACCAATCACAAATACAAATTGCAGAGAATTTTTGGATAGACGATTACAAGTGCGATGGGAAGTACAGGTTTGTTAATTTATATCATTAATTATCTTTAAAATAAAATTCATAAATTAATCACAGTATGCACTAATAATATTTATTAAAAATAAAATTTGTTTGTTTCAATATATATGCATACCTTTATGAACTAGATAATTATCATATTCAACCAGATGAATGAGATAATTGCAACTCAATTTAATATTTTATTAATATTTATCATTTTATCCATTATAATTAATTGAAATATTCAATAAAATAATTAAATAATATGAAATACCATTATTTTGAAGGGTGATTATATACAAATAGAACTATCTGCCCGAATTGAAGAAAAGGAATGGGCTGCTTTCGGTTTATCTGGCAAACAAGGAGCTCCTCAAATGAAAGGTACTGGAGATTTTGATAATTTGTCATAATATTCATTAAACCAATTATGTGAAAACGATCTTAAGTATTAGAAATATTAAAAATATAAAAAAAAAAATAGGTGCCGATGTAACAGTAATCCACTACGTTTCAAACGAGGAAAATTTCTACGCCACAGATTATTATTTATCAGACTTGGCCCAATGTGATGGCAAGAAAGGAGCTTGTCCTGACGAACGTATTGGTGGTAGAAACGACGCCAAAGTTGGTAAATAACATCACATTAACATAATAAAAGAAATAAATTATTACAATAATATCAATATATAATATTATGATATAATTTCTTTATTTAAGTTCGAGGTACTCGAAGAAACGGCGTCACTTCGGTCACTTTTAGGAGACCTTTGCAGACTAACGAGCCTGTAAATGATCTTCCTTTCCGTGTTGGAGGATCTGGACAAAATGCACAGTCTGTGATAGCAGCCATTGGGCCTTTGAATTCGAGAAGAGAAGTCAATAAGCATAATATTCGCGATCATTCGACTTATGACCAGAAAATTGATTTTTCTGCTACGGTAACCATATAAAATTACTATTTTTAAATGAGTACGAGAGTATTTTTCATACTAATCGAATTTAATTAAATTTCAAATGTTTCTAAAATTCAGTAACAGACTAGTTTTTTACAAGCATCTTCTTTTATTATTTTTGTAAGTTCAGCAATATCAAAAACTATTTTTTTTCAACAGGATGATCATCAGTGTACAGCTTCTTTATATGAATTATCGGAAGCTTCGGTATACACAGCTTGGGAACCTATGACTTTAGTGGCTTCTAGAGATACAGTGAATAACACATTCACTGCCAGAATAGGACCGACCGGAGGAAAACGGGGATACACACCAATTACAGGTGCAAATATTGAAAAATTTATCTCAAAAAAGATACTTAAGACGGACTACCTGCCTGTCCAGGAATATGGCGTGATTATAGATATTTTATACCAAAATTTAGAGAATGTTGCAATAGATTTGATTATCACAATACACTCTTAAAGGCAATTTCAAGATATATTTAGTTTAAGAAAATTCTCACCTACATAGACTCATTTTTTGTGACTTTTTTATTTGTGGTTGGAACTGTCGAGTAGAAACTATTACTAAATATTAAATTTCCTTTAGGTCATCCAAGTTGGGGTATTGCATGGTACATCAATGATATGTTGATACCAGAATTATATTTGGAACGTGGTCAAACATATACTTTCATTGTTGAAGGAGGAAATGATAGAACAAATCCAGCTAGGTATGGATAAAAATAATTTTATTATACCGTATGAATTAGTGGATATAATTTAAATATAAGAGCACCTGACCTTTTGCATACACTGAGATAATTATATAGATATAAATTAAATTTTCAGATACCATCCATTCTACATATGCGATTCAAGTGAAGGCGGTTATGGACAAAAAACTGATTTGGAGCAAATGAAGCAAAAAGTTTATGCAGGAGTAGATTTTGATATGGACGGTTATCCTTATCCAACAGCAGGTTAATTTCTAAGATACTTCAGTAATATTATCTAGAATATTTATTTATATTCAAATAATATGCAATATTATAGCTGGAAGATATTGCGAGTGGATACATAAAACAGTAGACAGATCTGCCGAATTCGAATCCTTCCAGGAATTTAAGGAAACTTTGTCTTTGGAGTGTGTTGGCGGTGAACCAGCTGTTTTAACCTGGACAGTGCCGATAGATGCACCTGACTTATTATACTACCAGGTAAAGTAAAAAAAAATTAATACGACAAATTAAATCCAGTAGCCCTAGTTTAAAATCTGGAGTATGCAGCATAACTGCCCCTACTAAATTTGGGTGAATTTCTAATATAAAGGAATTATTTGATACAATCCATGTTTTTTGCTGATAAGAAATAATTCAAATTCATTTACAATTTTGATTTATAGTGTTACACCCATAACAACCTCGGCTGGAAAATCAACATTGTGGATCCAGGCCGATCACCTCGAAAAATCGTCGGTGTGAGCAAAGCACCCAGCATTTCTCAAAATGCATCATGGCCTTTAGCAGCTTTAGCATTTATTATTACCAGTCTGATACGAGGATTAAATGGAATCGAGGAATGACAACCGAATAATGATGAATATCAGTAATCCTTACGAGTGCTTCTATCTAAGGCTATGAGAAATAGCTACATTGAAACTAATTTCAACTAGAATGGATGGAAAAATCATGATTATTGGATTGTTTTATTAATTAAACATTTATTCAAGTTTACTACAACAAATTATACACATTATGCTTCGTGTATAAATAAAATTCTATATAAAATACTGGTCTGGACAAATTTCATCAAATATAGCCTTGCCTTAACGCTTATCAAAATCTGCAATCTTTTTTTATTATTGATACTAAATATATAAATAAAATTTTCGGATTTTTTATTTGTTACAATTATTCAATTACAATTGTTCTAGTTGAAATTAGTAAATAAAAACTATTTAGCGCACACAAAGGATGAATTTTACAACCAATGCATATATCAATGGAAAAACATATCCGCCGTGCAGCGTATATGATTGAAAAACAATTTAATCCTACAAAAGATTTTTTTAAAGTCTAAAATAGTAGTATTTATATTCGTCAGACTGGTAAAAATAAATGCTAAATATATCAAGAACAAAATCTAACAACTTGAACTGTTACACGTGAATCTTTCAAGATTCTTATACGATTCTTATAGGACTTGTACTAATCTTTATACATTGTTTGAACAATCTATATATTTTGTTACATTATAATATATGTTTTAGTATATAATGATTGAATAATCTTATATATATATCCAAAGTATCTAAAGTATCTTATAAAATTCTCTATAGTAGCTTTATGTGCTGAGTTTTCTATAGATTTGAACAAGACAGATACATATTTCGGAAACAAAAAATAAAATTAAGATTATAAGGGGTTTTCAATTTAATGTAAGAGCTGTATACATATATATTATTTTTGTTTGAATATTTTCATAGAAAAAGTAATTTGTTATTGTTAACGTGTTTAGCTATATTGCACATTAGTGCAATATTTTTTTTTTTAAAATTTGTATACAGTCCTAGTATATAATTTTGAAATAATAAATGCTTATTAAAGCATTTATTATTTTAAAATTATATACTAGGATTAAATAAAACGACAATTAAAAAAATACTTATTTTAATAATTATATTGAATATTTAAAGCATTTTTTAATAATCTTTACCTATGAGTAAATTACCGCTATTTTTATTTTTAAACTTAAATTTTAAAAGAATTATTGAAAATGTTTATTGACCTAAAAATGTATTATAGCAAAACAATTTATAATCATCATATTTTAAAAATTGACGATTTTAAGGATTGATCTAATTTTATAATGATTTGAATTTGTTTTATTTTATTAATACAAAAAGCTTGATTCAAGAAGGGATAATAAAAATCTTGGACCTCAAGATTTAAAAAAATGAGATTTTTTAACATTTACGAAATTTAACTGAATTTTGACAATAATATTGAACTCAGTAATGTATGACAATAAAAATACTAGTATTAAGCTATAAATAAATACTTTAAGTATGAGAAAGCATATAAATTATATGGTACCAATTGCAAAATTAATAAGAAAATAAAATTTTTTATTGATTTTAACAAACATCCAAAAAAATGCATTTTGAATAATTACTTCTATTTTATTTTAATAGAATTTTTCTTGATTTCTTTTTATAAAAATAAGAGTGTTATGGATTTTTTTCATTTGGTCAGCTGAAGCTGATTTTGGCTTTTGTTTACCACAAAACCAATTTGTATATTATTTAATATTTTAATTGGAATATGATTTTTTTGCAATTGGTACTGAATTTAGGATGAATTCGAGTTTTCATTCAAAATGCTGCGCGACACTTTACTCTATTTTTAGGCTTAAACATATTGTAATATTTAAAACATTGATATAAAAATGATAATAATTAATGTTAAGGAATTGTTAATAATATTTCGATGTAGGTTTGTTCTTGTATATTTAGATCTAATTCAGATTTTAAAAAATGTGATAAATTTGAGGGTTTTGACAATAAACTTGTTTAATAAGATTTTAATATTATGACAATAATATATACTTAATATTTTCAATCGAAAGTATTAAAATTTAATGAATATATACAAAGTGTCGAAATCTAAGCTTGAGGAGATTTGTCGATTTGTTATTTGTGAAGTATTTGCTAATATTTACTCTATTTGCAAAAAATACTATAATTTATATGTTTAAATGTTTTAAACTCAAGCTTGAAACCAAAATCGTACTGATTTCAAAAAATAATATTATTACCCAAAAAATTATTTTTTATCACTCTCGATTTTTGATATAAATGTATACACAAAAAAATTTAACTATATTTAGTGTTGCAATAAACAAAATTAATTAAAACGGTTACTTAATTTTTATTATGTAAATGTAGGCTCTAAAATAATTATATTATAAAACATAATATTCGATATTAATTAATAATGTTAATTACAATAATACTTATAGCCCGGGATAAAATGTCAGATTTTATATTACGTTAAGATTTAAACATTGTTTTTTATAAAATAATTATATAATCATTTTAAATTTGTTTAAATTTATTATAAAAATCCTGTAATTTCTGTTATTATAATTATTAATACTGTTAAATATTTCGTTGCTTAGATATAAGATAAGATATTATCTACGACAATACTAATTTATGTGATTGAATTTGAAATTAATTAACTTCATGCAAAAACTAACTAAATCAATTAAATTTAATTTTTTTGTACCTTATAAAAATTACCATTTATCTTTATCGTTAATTTTAAATATTTTACAAAAATTAATATTTATAGTTTATAGTTTTAATTTTATAATCAGCAAAACTTTAATTTTTTTTAGAAAATTTACGATGTGATTAGAGCCTTGAGAATATGAATGTATTATAAAGCTCAAATATATTCTATTTGTCGTGTATATAATATTAAAGATACAAAAATCAATTAATATAATATTCAAGAATGAACAGGAATTTAAACAAGAAGCAATTTTAAATGAATTTACATTGAACGAACCGAAAAATCAATTTATTCAGTACAAAATAGAATATAAAATAATTTTTATGACAATAATTTGTGTACAAAAAGAATTAGAAGTTTTATTGGAGAACATAAAATATTTTGGCTTTATTGAAATAGTTGACATTAATTTCGTTAGTGACAAATAAATAAATTTTAATAATGCTCAATGATTACATAACTATTCATTAATATTTGTTGGATATATATTATTAATAACCATTTATTTAAAATTTAATACGATCCTGAAATAGTTGTGTAATAAGTATGTAGGTCTGATATTTTTGATACAGTATCTAATTTATGATTTTTAGGTAAATTTCTATTTAAATTCTGAAATCTTTGAAATCTATTGTTGTTAAAGAAATAATGTCTCATAACATTTTTATATTGCTTCTTATCATGCTAGATATAATTTCAAGCAAAATTACATATATAACTGAAAAGTATAAAAACGTAGTATAAAGTCATTAAAATTATTTGCAAGAATTCATAATAATATCCAAATTTTACGAGTCATTCAAATATTTAGATAGGTGAAAAAATAGTAAAAATCTATAAAATCAATGTAGTTGTCAAGAAACATTTGCTATAAAATTTAAGTAATTAAAAGACAATAATATAGTTGTAAGAATGTGCAGATATAACAGTATTACTTAAAAATAATTGTGGATAAATAATAGCATGCACTTTTATATTATTCTTTACTAATAAACATACAGTGGGGATTTTGTTTGAAATTTGAATAATTTAAAAAAAATTCATAAATAAATAAAAAAAAACTTTATAAATTGTTTATAATAACGTAAATAATCAGATTCAGAAAAAAATTCAGAATTTCATAATTTAAAGTGATCTTAATATAATATTCAATAACTCAACGTAAATATTTATTCTTCGATAATATTATATATATAAAAGGGAATTATTTAAATAATTCTAAATCTTTATGAATGAAATAAATCAATGATGGCATAGTTATATAACTGAATTAATTTTTTTTATATACTTAATTTGATATTTGATTAATCCATAAAATAAAATGAAAAATATTTGTTTACGTTCGAAGCAATTATTATGAATTATATTATATATAATGTATTGATTTCTAGCATACATTATATTTCTAATTTATTATATTAAATGTGGATTAAAATCTGAAACTTGTTTAGCAGATAGAATAATATCTAATAAATCTACTAATTTTCTAACAAAATACAGCTCTGAAATGACTGTACGATTTTTGATGATATTAAATAAAAATCTATTATCTAATAGTGCAGATAAGGAATGAAATTATAAATTATAAATTCACATAATAGTAAATCGAAAGCTTTTTTCTCAAACGCATTTTTTCATTCAAAAACAAATTGAAAATCCCCACTGCAACTATCTTTTAATAAGTTGCTTAATTTAAAAAATAATGAAAAATATGCTTCTAAAAATAATATGCATGTATGGTGTAAAAGGAGATCTATCTGAGTGCCTTTAGTATATGGACACTGAAATTAATAATATTATAACTTTCTTAAATAATTACAAGAAGGTTGTTTCAATTTCAATAACTGAATAAAAAAAATTTAATTTGCTTTGAACATTAAAAAGTTATGGATAATAACAAGAAGTTGATCTGGAAATGGTTTCAATTTTATTTAAAAAATCTAGCTTGTATTTTGAATCTTAAAAATTCATTAATTTACTGTTTATTATCGTGATGAATTATTTAATAAATTCAAGCATCGTAGACTATCTCAGTCTACACGTGACATAAATATTATAATTTGTGATTATTTTTTCAAGAAACCATTACAAATTGAACATTTTCTTATTACGATCAAACTAAAAATTATTTTTACTAATTTCAATGTCTGCTAACTGTTTCATTCTACTAACTGTATTTAACTAACTTGTATAAATATTGTACCTATAATAAATTCTAATTAAGGCACTTATATCTACGAATCAGTGTTTTGTCGATTTGTATATGTATATACTTATTACAATT